TAGACCTAAAATGTTGGACTTCGTTTCTAGATGGGGGCCATATCAGACTAACACTGCCAATGTTTGACATCAATCTGTTTTTGACCCGTTGAAGAGATCGGATTCTACCATCGAGAGATGAAGTTTTACGTTACAATTTTATATCGTGATATCCACACAAAAACTACTAAGCTACACATAAAAAGTTATTAGACCAGAAAATTTACACTTCGTTTCAAAATGGCGGCCATATTAGACTATCATGGCCGTTGTTTGGACTTCATCATCTTTTCAACCCGTAAATGTGATGGGATTCTTATATCGAGAGACAAAGTTCCAGGCGACAGTAGACTGTCCATGTAAACACAAAAACTAGCAAGGCGCTAAGAAAAACGCTATTAGATCTGAAATGTTGGACTTCGTCTCAAGATGGGGGCCCTATCAGACTAACACTGCCGATGTTTGACATCAATCTGTTTTTCACCCGTTGAAGAGATGGGATTCTACCATCGAGAGATGAAGTTTTACGTTACAATTTTATACCTTGATATCCCCACAAAAACTACCACGCCACTACATAAAAAGTTATTAGGCCAGAAAATTTACACTTCAATTGAAGATGGCGGCCATATTAGACTATCATGGCCGTTGTTTTGGACTTCATCGATCCTCTTTTAAACCCGTGGAAGAGATGGGATTCTAATATCGAGAGATGAAGTTCCAGGCGACAGTAGATTGTCTTGATGTAAGGACAAAAAGTAGCAAGGTACTAGGAAGAATGTTATTAGACCTGAAATGTTGGTTTTCGTGTCAAGATGGGGGCCATATCAGACTAACACTGCCATTGTTTGATATCATTCTGGTTTTTAGCCGATGAAGAGATGGGATTCTACCATCGGGGGAAAAGATAAGTTCTAAAGACTTTTTTTCTTTTGTCTTTTTGTATTTCCTTTTTAAGTACGTGAGAGTAGGAAAAAGCAGTAAACCGCGGTGTTTGATATCATTCACTATGTTCTAAAGATTGGGGTTTTTTTAACGCTGCCATGATCATCTGACGTACCTCGTGACGACTTTACCCCTATCTACAGTTTTGACTCAGGCTGATGGTTTCAGCGTAGTGTGTGTGAGAATTAATTGAAGCATAATCGTCTCGCTATGGTCTATTTTAAATATGGCCCGAAATTCATTGTTACTATTTTGCTTTTGAACTCAGCTATGGTTGATAAAACGCCTATTTCATGCAGTTACGACTACAGCCGCATACAAAATCCCATAAAATCTACTTAACTGAGAGAATTATAAAATGTCCTTAGATCCAGTAGCGGCGTTCATTTTCCAAGACCTGAAATCGGGAATCAGTTGGAGTCAGGATCATTTCAGCGGGGCGGTATCGTTTTTTGCGCTGTGCATACAGCATATTTACAAAACGATGGCTAACTAACAAAGTGAAGGGCTTCAAGCATTTTCTTAATAAATTTTTGAAATATATCTTCTTCCACTAACAAGAAAATGTTTCTGGTTTTTATTTCAAAGATAGTGCAAATGTAATCTAATTTTGAGAATATAAAAACCAATTTCTCTTACGAATCTAGAGAAAAGTAATGATTTTTTGGTATTTACGAAATTGAGGTCTTTGTTTATTTAACTTTGCCATATACCGAATTAGCACTTGCGATGCAAAACTGGAGGCAAGTTCAACCAATTGAAATACTTTTCCTTTAAGTCATTGTCAAGGCCTTCCAAATAACTACATGTAAAAGTATTTTAGAAAAAAACAACTAAACTTGTTTTCTTTTCCAGCTGATCAAATTACCAAGGTAATTTGGTGCTTTTTTCATTTGAAGAAGTGAAGAGTTTCAATGTGGCCATAACAGCGATGGGCCATCCAAAAATTACCTTTTCACTAGAAACGAAAAACTATTCCCTGTTTGCGTTTTGGTAAAAAACTAACTTTCTTCTTTTTAAATTATGTTAAGGTACTGATTAACTCTTTCGGTGTTTATATTGTGTTGAGCGACAGATCAACCTGTAATATAGAACAAAGGGAATGTTTGTGACCTTACTTAAACCGAAAATCGTTCGAAAATAGGTCCCACTCATCCAGCATGCAAATGTGGAAACAAGGAACAAGTTTCTGTAGAAAGGGAGGATGCTGTTGCAGAAGCGAAAATGTTTCATCAAAGAGACATTTCGACTGACAGTGTTATGGTGTATTGGCGTTGTTTTGAATCTACATTGTAACTGCTTGGCATCCAAGTCGCCCGATGACGTTAGCCCCACACGGAATACAAACTTGATCTATAGCCTACGTGTCAACTTAAAATCTTCAAACGAAACTTCTTCACCTTTCCACTATAACAAGAACCGTCGAAAGAACAAGACAGTAAGAAGAATGTTCGCGTCCAGAAGCAACCATCCTTCTGACGGGAGTGGCTTCGCAAGAAATCTCAACGCAGCTAAAATAAAACGAGTTTGTAGACTTTTAGAGAGGGCTTTGGATGGTCTCAAGGAATTCAACAAAAGCGCTCCAGCAGGAGGTGTCTCAAAATTAAAGGACAAGTCCTCAAAGATGAAGCCATCTCTCTGCTGTTGCCCTTGTGGTTGCGGTGGATGTTGCCTTATGCGCCCAATGATAATGTACAAAGTCAAATACACTCCACCGAAATTTAAGATGAGGCCGCTAAAATCGAAAACAAAATGTGGCTGTCCACATTATGGCCTTCATCTTGGTAGGAAAAGGAGATAGCTTTTAATAAAGAATCAGCTAATCACTCTAAAGTGAATTTTTTGCGAAAAGTTGCTGATCCGCGTGGACATAACTGGATTTGATATTAGGTTTGCTTAGTCAAAGCTACTTTTAATTGTAGTTACCAGGATATCGGGAAATTATTACCTACAGAGTATGACAGAGACACTTGACATTAATCAAAGTACAACACGTATAGCAGATTGAATCCTTTGTGTCGAAATTATCGTAACCAATGTCAAATTTGGCTATAAGAATGTAAATGAAGGCGGTCCTAGTATAATTCACAAAGGTAACTAATCAATGCAGATGCTGTAAATCATTGCTAATTAAATAAAATGTGAAATCAAATAAACCAGCGTTGACTTTCAGTGAGTTTGTTTCTTTACCTTTTTTACTCACAGAATTAAATTGGGTGGATGAGCTGAAAACGTATAACTTCTTCGGTTGAACACATTTAAAAACAATAAGGATAAATGTTTGATAACCATATGGACTTAAACAATACAGTGACCTGCTATTTTGTGTACTTAATAGGACTGAAAGTCAAGGTGGCAGTGAATTAGCTCTTGACATTTCTTTTATAGAACTGACGCACTTAATGAAGACAAAAAAGACCCTCGACAGAAGAAGAGAATATGGTACTCCAAGAAAGCGTTACTTATTGACAACTAAAGGATGTGGTCGCAGTTTAACGCAAAGAAGAATGGCAATGGACCGAAATGTATAACGCATCCAAGCCTTTTGTACTATTAACTTTATTTTACTTCGCGGTAGCTGGAGGATACAATGGCAAATCGATTCAAGATGATTACTTTACCTTTTACAGACTTTTACAACAAATTCAGGATTTCAATGGCCTAGTTGTTAAAACGTTTCGTAACTCAAGACATATGGAAAATTCAGTGCTGTTGATTCAAAGACACGGCCATGGCTTTTCTGTTACCAAAAGAATGGAGGAGGAGAAACCCGATGGTCCAGTTCATGAGATTTCACGGGAGGATTTTAAGAAGCTATATATGATTTTGGAAAACGCATTGAGGACGTTGAATGAAAAAGACAACGACGGAGACTTCGAGGACAGTTTAAGGACTGACTCGGATAATGTTAATGATAATAATAATCTTGAAAATTCGAGAAAATACGCGAAAAAGCATAAAGATAATGGAAATCACAAGGCAAAGATGAACGAAGGTCAGTCTGGCGATTCTCCTGAAAATGATGGATCCATATGCTTCATGCCTTGTGGAGGAGGAGGGGCTTGTTTTAATCCCTCAGCATGCGGTTGTCCATGTTCTGATTGCTTGCCGTGCCAACCGCAATCATGCATGATGCCACCATGTTGTCCTTGTTGCTGCAATTCCGATGGCAAAAAACTGGAAGACGTCTGGACGATGCCAACACTGATCGTAGCTAAGCCTGTTCCAGCTCCACTACCACCTGGAGAAGGCCCAAAGCTCTGGCTACCATCTTGGTTAACCGACAAGCTTGGTCTTCCTCCCGCCGCTGGTGAGGAAGGTAAAGAAGCTGGCGGGAAAACGG